TGGGAGTCTGTTTAAACCATTGCAGTCCAAGAACATAAATACAAAATCATCAAATTACTTGATTCACAAAAAAAAAAAAAAAAATTAAAAAAAATTAAGCCAGAAAAGACATAGAAACACAGAATCACAGGATGATTTGGGTTGGAAGGGGCCATCAAAGATCATCGAGTCTCATTCCCCTGCCAGGTGAAGAACTATCTCATACTAAATCCAGTTGCTATAAGCCCCATCCAACTTGGCATTAAAAACTTAAAATGATGGGGCATGCACAATTCCTCTGGGCAACCTGTTCCAGGATTCCACCACCCTCACCACAAAAATCTCTTCCTTATATTCAATCTAAACCAACTTGCCTTACATATAATTTCAAGTCCTCTCAAAGACCAAAACACATTTTGTTTGCAGAGAATGAAGGATATTGCTTAATGCAGAAAGTACTTCAGATTTACAGATCTAAGTGAGCAGTAGCTGCTGGTCACCAGAACCATCCCATTCCCATTCTAAGATTGCTGGCACATCACATCCACTGCAAACATGTAAAATGTTTCTTGAAATTAGCTCACTTGTAGCCTGCTTGTTCTGTAAAAATAAGCTTTAAATGTCTGGCAAAGCAGAGTTACACTAAAATACCTCAGCAAGCTACTTCACAGTCACAAGCCGGACAAGGCTTGGAGTGTCCAGATTTTTATTTTATTTTTTCTTTTACTGTGAGTAGCTTTTCTTTTGGAAAAGCAGGGGAATGTTTTAGGATGTATTTGTTAAGAACTCTTTTCCCCTTTTCTAATCCTTCCTTTCACCCTCACAGAATTCTGCTATGGCCAATGAGCTAAAAGAGCTCCTTTAGGGAAAATTTCACATCAGTTTTAGATACTTTTCTCTAGACTTAATGACAGTTTATTACTCTCTTCTCCAAAGTCACACTCAGGAAAGCTAGTGCTTCTCCTTAAATACTTTATCAATCTTGAACAGTCAATATATTTATTTGACTAGGTAAAAGAGCCCAAATATATTGTGTATTAAAGAGACCAAATGAAAGTTGAAATTTATACATGAATTACAAGAAGCATTCACACATTTGCATTGACTTCAAAGTCACTGTCTGCATTATATATATTTTTTTTTATTTCTATTTTGAGGGAGAAACCTGCTTGGACTCCAGAATTGCCAATGACTCCTGTATGCTTTGGTAACATTAATATTCCTGATTTCCATATAGTCAGACAATTTGGTTTTTACTGCTACTATCTATCTCAACAAATTCCTGGGCCAATAAGTTCCACAGTTTAATCATATTTTGTGTGAAGAAGCCCACTAGATTTGAATTTTGTACCTATTAAACCTATTTAATATTTCCAGAGTCTATGCTACACACCAGGGAAAACGTGGTTAATAGAAAAGGCTAATTGGAAAACCGAAGACTCTTTGCTGCATCTACTGGATTTCATTCAAAATCTGGATTCTTTGGCACCACTCTGTCATCAGTGCTTTAAAAAAACTTGGCCAGGTACATGAATGGAGATTTTTTTTTTCTACCAACAATATGAATATACTTCCTTCTAACTGAAAATAACTTCGTTTTGAACAAAATCAGACAAATTATGGCTAATTACTGCCAAATCTACTGTGTGCTTTTGATCCATTCAGCTAAGCTTACTGATCTGTGACATCCTCATAATTCATAAAGGCTAATTCCCAAAGACTATGACTGTGTAATTCTCATCTTTTGATCACCAATTAACATTCCCCAGGAAAAAAAAAAAAAAAAACCAAAAAAACCCCAAAAAAACCCCAAAAACAAAGCCAAAAATAAAAGAAAAAAAAATTCTGTGTCATTTTACTGTACCATGTCTGGTAATATTGCTTATGTATTTGATAAGTGGCAAGTTACTTCTGCAGACTTTTATTTTAAAATAATTGTCATTGGCACACAAATAAATAATTTATTATTTTAGAAGGTTTTGATGCAAATTTTCATCCTCTTAGAGCTGTGTTTCATTCGTGGATTTTCTTAGTTCATCTCAAAATTCTCCAGTATTCATAACTATGAGATTGTTGCACACACACACACATACACACACACATATAGCACAGCCGGACTCTACTACTCTAATTTTGGCCATGGTATTCAGCTAAATAACAGCAGTATATGCTTTGCAGTAGCCATGCCAGTTTTTACACATGATGTGAAAGCAGGTAAGCATGACCAATGTTCTGTGGCCACTTTTCTTTCCCTTATGTAAGTAATAATTTTGGAAGGGTATATAACCAGGGATATATACAGTATATATATATATACATATATACATATATATATATATATGTAACTGGTTATATATACAGTATATAACCAGATATCTTCCCAGAGCATCCAAGAGAAATTTGTGTGGCTCTAATGAGATATGTACAGATGCAGGACTCCCACTGCCCAGACCTATAAAGCCAATAGAAAGAGGCAGTCTCCTCTACTCTAATCATTTGCAATGGGTTTGTAACCTGTGTGCCACCCCTCATGTCCTTGATACTGACTGCATTGACAGAGATCCAAAGCATGGTACCTTACAGAGAAAGGATCAAATCACTCCCCTGAACTCAATAGCTATATTGCACACCTTAAAGGAAAATGGTTTTCAGGCACCACAGTGAATAAAGGGTCAAGCATATCCACAGAGCTAATCTTCTGTCGGGGTTCACATGGACAAACTGATGCACGGGAAATCTGGAGAGTGCCTGGTTTGCACTCAAACATCATTGCAAAGAATCCACACATTAAGTATTAGTGGAGTCTCTTATGCATGATATGGTCAGAGTGAACTTGCCTGGGATTCTTCTTCTTCGGAACCTTCCCCAAAATACAAGCCAATTGAAATAAAATTTTAAATTTTCTTCTGAATTACATTATAAGCCAGCTGCAGTAAAAGTGACCCTCTGCCATCATGTAGGCTTCTTATGAACTGCATTGTCCTTGTTAAATGCTTGACTTCTTGTCAATCTAACCCCAGTCTCAAAGAAGGACTATAAATAGAGAGCAGTTATTGCACACTTCCAATCCACTGCAGCAGCCAGGAACCCTGCAGTTTCTTAAGAGGGAAACACACAACACAAAGCTATAAATATTTCTATTTTCTTTTTTTCTCAGGCACTCTTTTCACCCCAGAGAGTGGAAATAAAATTGAGGAAGCTGATCATATGACCCTGGGAGAACTGAAATGATTGCTCTGACATGAACAGTCTTTGGTAGGATCCTAAGGAACAGTATGCACTGGTGACATGGTCAGCAGTCATTAACTTGTTGTCTTGATCATCGGTCCCAGGAAATCTGTGGCTTGCAGCATGCCTCATATTTACTGCTGCTGGTCTAACATATGGTTTGCCATGACAAGCAGTCTTTAATTTTGGCAGGCCTGTGGTTGTCTCAGAAACATCATGTTTAGAGGGAGAATTTAACAAGAACTTGTATTGAGTTTTCAAAATAATGAGAAACATTTGACACAGATTTCTGTGATTTCAGGTGCATTTTCTGTAACATTCTGTTAAGCTGTAAGACAAGATATAGTAAGGGACAGTAAAGTTTCAGTTAATTTTTTCAGACCTTTTTTTACTATTTTTTAAATCTCATGGGTTTTTTTCCTTAAAAACCAAAACTTAACAGACTAGTATCTACATAATGACTACCAACACACAGACCAATAATTTCCACAGCAACTGATGACTAATGCAAGAAGAAGATATCTGCTTGAAAGTTCTTCTGTAGCTGGAAATGTTCCCTTGCCTTTTAATTCCTTCAGTCACCAAAAAGGGCAAAATTTCCTCACAATATGTGGGGCTGAATTTGTGATGGCACTCAAAAGATCAAGCTGGGGTTATTTTGAATCAAAAATTCATCATCAGTCAAAGTCAGACCCTATTTTGGCATTACTCTTTTTCTTCCATCAGTTTCAGAGCTGGATCCAAATTTTTCTCTATACATGTCATAGTCCTGGCATGATCCAGCCAAAGGCAGGTCAGCAGACCAACTCAACTGACTTCACTGGTGCATAAGTAGATTCTGAAGTCATTTAAGAACAAGTCAGGAAAATACCATGGAAATGTACAAGCTTACAAGCAACTGAATCCATCAAAGACACTAAATTTTGAGCAAAAATAAACAGCTTCCCAGAACAGGAATTATAGTCCACCCTAGGAGTACTGACTGGTGGATTGCATGTAATAGATTGCTCTTTCATGCAAGTTTGCCTTCTGGCTTCTGTTCAATTAAAATACTCCCAGGTTAACCAGGCAATTTAGGTCTACTGCTCTTATTACCATTAACTTATAAACATTGTGACATTTGCACTGGAGACCGCTCTTATGTTACATGCTGCTAATGCATTCTTTCACTCAGATTTGTAGGGGTTTATTTCATGGAATGGAAGGGGACAGAAGCATCTCACTGTTGTTGGTAATCACAAGCTTGTGAGAACGATGTCATGCCCTTTTGGGGCAGCAACGTGTGTAAGTTAGTCAGTGTTTCCCTGGTGTCCAGATGTCAGGGAGCAAGGGCAAGGCAGTGCACCCTCATCCCTGTGGCACATAATGGGATGTGATGGAAGAGACTCACCAGGCTGCAGGGATATGCCTGGAATGTGACCTGGCTGGCAAGCCATGGTGTCAGGAAAAATCTTCTAGAGAAAACTTTGCTCTTAATGTCATACTTGGCTTTCATCAAGGATACATATTCTCTAGCCTGGCTATCACAGTGAAATGTGATACTTCCCAGAAGTCATACTTTATAAAACGACTTGGAAAACCTAGTGCATGAGTTACACATGATAATCATCTACCCTAAGAAGCAGATTCATTCTCTATAAAGTGCACTGCACAAGAGTAAAACAGAGCCAACTTTTGTTGGTTGCTCACCACAGGTATGGTCTGGCTATTTTCAAATTCCACCAGACAGGCATCAATTCCCGTGCCCATATCCTTGAACACTGAAATAATGCTTCAAAAGAGACACCATGAACTGTATTTTTCTTTTCTTTATTCCAAGACTTTTACTTTGCATAGTACTTTACACAAGGGTAATAAATGGTGCATTCCATTTATAACAAACATTAGGAAGAACAACAGCCACATTTTTCCTTTCAACTGTGTATTCCCATGAGCAAGAATAGCATATATTCAAAACAGAGAATGATTCTCTATTTTTGTCTATGAGCTGGGTGGTCCAATTGGTTAGTGCATTAGCCTTTCTTCTATGAACACTTTGATTTTAATAATAGCTTTGGGCACAACAGAATATGAGTATGACAAATTCATCCTACGTGTCCTGACTTGTTACAAAACCTCTGTACAATATACAATGTACTTTAATATACTAGGGAAATTTAGAAACAAGGGAAAACTGTCAGTAACTTCTGCATAAATTAATTTTACAAATACAATAAAAATTTAAATGAATACTTACATTGATTATATGATTTTTGACACCATACTTGTTACAGGAACTGTAAAATATATGTCAAGTTTTACATCACCTGGAAACTTTGTCATTTTTCACTCAAGACAATATGTCTGTTGTCTTTTACTTCTCCTTCTATACATCTTTCTAACCTATCTAGAAGTCAAGATAAAGGGGAATAGGTAATATTTTCCATTTGACAACATTTATAAATATCAGCAAGATTTTAAAGGAATCTTGAATGCCTCTTGGTGTATTTCTGAAGGGCAAAAAATTTTACGACTCTGGAGACTGCACTATGACTGAAAGAGAATTAAGACATGCAGTGGTGGAGATAATGCTTGACTGACATTTGTTTAAGGCCATTGAGCTAAAATGAAGGTTAACCTTATTAAAGGAGACTGTTAAGACAGGCACATGCTGTGGTCCAAAAGGAAAGTTCTTGTTCTTTGAATTCGCTTCTCTTCAAAGGAATTTGAGCCTAACAGAAAGGATGAACTGCTGTACTTCTTACCACACTTCTTCTTGAAACTTCTCATCATGGCAATTGGAGTGATACTAATTGCAAAGGACATCTAGTGTCTCCAAACAGAGAGTTGACTCTTTTTGTTAGTCCTCTGAGAGCAAGGGAATCCAACTCTGATTTACCATAAAGTACATTGGCAGAAGATTAGCATGTTCATAACACTCTATAAATACCATACAATTAGAGAATGTAAAATAAAGTTTGGACCCATAAAATTAACCCATCTCTAAGCAAGTGAAATCAAAACTTTCATATTTGCAAGCCTAAAGTGATGAAAAAAGAAAAATTGATGAGCAATGTGGGTTTTTCAATGTAGAACTGAATGCATTGTGGTCTCTGGAATATCCACATTACTTAAGTTGCACTGTTTTTTAAATTTTACTTGATTAACTTTGTTTCTTCTCTTAAACTTAATGTTCTTAAAACTTCTGGAACCCAGAACAACTAGGCATAGCAATCCATAGCAGGGCAAAAACATTTGACAGACTCAAATCAAACACTGTTTACATTTGGGAAACTTCAGTAGCTGATGCAGATCTAGGTCTTTGCTCTTCCAGGCATTCATCTAACTGTGTTCCTGCTCACTACTAGGGTTAGGGTTTCATTTTTTCATGAAAGCTTCAACTAACATCATAAACTATCGTATTGGACCCTTCATGTGAGAAAATACTATAATGTTGATTTTTCCTCAGCAAAATCCTCCTGCTTAATTAGTACACTTTTGCAGTATTAGAAATATTTGTGACCTATTTCTGCCCTTGATTTGTATTCTAAACTGCTAACCTACAGTGTGCATTGACAATACTGCATATTACACAAAACAGCATTTTTTTCAGTCTTATAATCTACCAAAGTATGCAGACGGAGTCAGAAGCATTTTCCTTCACGTTTAAATAAAATCATTCCATAATTATTTCAGATTATATCCAGCATGCAGATGGAGAGGATCCAGTGCTCAATTACCACATCTTAAGTCCTGAAATTATGCTTAATGGTTTCTTTTCTTGAAAAGAGCATAAGAAAATCAAAGTGTATGTAGTAGATTTATGAGAGTATTTTGTGTTGAGTATTAAGGCTTTAGTTACTAGAAAGGACTACTAGTTCTGCTACTCTGTTAAAGAAAGTACTCCTAAATCATGTTATTTTTGCTAGCAAAGCCAAATCATTGAAAGACAGAAAAACAATCAGGTAGCCTGCAAACATTCTGCCAATGTGATTGTCAAATATTGGTGTTTCTCCAAATGTTTGAAAAATTAGTTTTAATGCCTAGATTAATTCCTAAAAAGGGTAAAATTCACTGCCAGAGCTCTTCACTTTAAAATAACCTGGGACAAATTAGGCATCCAAGAGAACTGGGATTCACTCCCTGCTGACAGGAAAATTCATTGCAACCACCTCAAAAATGTTATACTCTAAGCAAATATCTCCCCTTAGAGACTGAAACTCATGGGAATGCACTTATTCAAAATCCCAGCATGGGGATCCCAGTGCACAGGTCTCTAAGATGCTGATCCTATAAAGTTTCTATAAACTGTAACCTCAATTACTAATAGTTGTCCTTAAAAATTATTCCCTTTATCAAAAGACAGCAGACTCAAGTCTTTCCAAGTGAGGCTTTTCAGTCTGTAGAGTGTCTCCAGGTAGCCCCAAGGAGCACTCTACTACAGTGCCCCACTAGGGTTGAGAAGATTTCCTTTATAATCTGACTTGGCTATTCCTTCAGGTCTGATGGCTAAGATGTGACCCTGACAAATACTTTATTTATTTTATATATTTTATATATTTGTTTTATATATAAAACAAATAATTTATTTAAATAAATTATCAAAATTCTTTATACCTCAGAAAAAAATTTGTTGGTTTTTTTTTCCTTACTCTTCTCTCTTCATTCAGGTTAAAATTAATGCAAAGGACAGAGACCAACTTAAAAATCAAAATGCAACTTTGCATGCATTATTTTGTCTATAAGTGGATATATAGTTTAATTATCTAAACATTAAGGCTCACTCAAATCCAAGCCTCATTACAGTAATTTGAAATAAGAATGACTGAATGTGCAATTGCTTTCAAATTTAGTTCCTATCCAAGTTCCTAACAAAACAACCTGTTTGTTCAATTCTCATAAAATATGCATCTTTGGTTTTACAACAGTTGGCCACTATTGTCTATCAAAATCTGAATATTTTGGTGTTACAGGAGTCTGATCAGACACAGGTGTGCTCCAAGGCTGATATCAGTTGGTCTGCCCAAGTGTCTTGGTTCAAATGAAGCTTGGCACTGTGCTTATATGTGCTTCCAATGGTTTCTCACGAATATAAACCAGTGGGATCTCCTCTTTACAGTGACAGGCACCCACATAACATTTTCTGGTTTATAGAGAACATCTTTATGCATCAAATGTTGAGCAGATACACCACTCACACTCTCCATAATGTCAACAACATGGTGATTGATCACTGGATCCTCTCCATCTGCATGCTGTGTATAAATATAGCTGGAAAATAGGAGCACATTTTCCCTGCAGTTATGTTACAGTCCTGTTGAAGAGTATGGAGAAATAAGGTACATATTTACATACATAATTAGGTTTTCCCCAGTTGTTTTTGAATTACAAACTAAGATTGTTTTTACGAGGTGAGCAATTAAATGTAGCATAATTTCCTAGGATTTAAAGAGATTTTTGTTAGTGGAATTATCTGTGCTCCCACTCACTCTCTCTGCACCTATGCAGCTCCCTGGTGTGCTCTCCAAGAATAGTTCAGTTAGTTCCCAAGTCACTCAACATATTTCACTTTTAAGAAGCTATGTGCTAAAAAGCTTCCACTGTTGTCACTCTGAATCTTTAATGGTATTGAAACTGTCAGGCAAAAATTGCATTCTCCTGCTTTTCTGAGCAGCAGGAGAATGAAGATGACAGAAGAGCCATGTTAATGTTAATCCTAGATGAGAAATACAATGGCATTTTTCAGGAACTTAGGGCTCTGCTTTAACAGGCACAGGCTCCTTATTTTCCCCTTCTAGCCCATTAATTTTAAAAAAGAAATACTGAAAATAAAAAATTATAACTAAGAAAAACAATTAGCCAAATTGACTGAATCACGAAAATTCTCCCTGCCTGTATTTCCCATTGGTTTTCTAATTGCTGTCATTTTGAATCATTAGATCGTTGTAAGTAGGTTCCACAACTCAATAATCTTTGAGCAACTTGTGATCATTCACCTTCTTATGCTCATAACATCTTTCTGAAATTATTCCCTACTCAGATGAGGCACTGAAGAACAGAGGTCTAAGGTACCTGGGAGCATGATTAACATCCTCTATAATCCTATAATTTAGATGTCTACCACATTGTAGCTGAAGCTACAGTGAAACTGTCACTAGGATCCATTTGAGAGCATTTCTGACCATTAATCTCATTAATCTCATGAAAACCAAGAGTCTTCCTTAGAGCGTGATGAAAACAAAGTATGAGACCCTGTTCTCATGCAGACATCTACACCCTAGATATAAAAACTAGTAAAGAAAAAAATACCCCACCATGAAGGATTTAGACAGGACTGAACTTATATCAGAATGTCAAACCTTAGGGAGTAAATCCAACTATGCTACTGCCATCCCTGCACATTCCAAAAAACCCCAAGTACCCTGGAAGTCTTGTCTGTATATGCACACTCCTGGGAAACTCTACAAAGGCGCATCTTCTGCAAACTCATTTGAAGCTGTCTCCACTCCAGCAGCCAGGCCATCACGTTAGGGATGGTTTCTGCATAAGGCAAAGAGGGCACATCCTTCAAAGCCGAGTACGGCACCGCGTTGATGTGTTTCCCAACAATTCCGAGCAGAGTCGGCTCTCCCAGCCAGCTCTAAGCAGGGCAGCATCTCCGTACTGCCTGTGACCACCTGGCTCTGCCTCCACTGCCCGAGTGCTTTGGCACAGTTGGTGCTGACAGATTGTGCCTATTATTCACCATTACTATTTGTATCCTTTCAAAATGTTCTGCTGAGAGTTCAAAGACAAGGTACTAGCCTCAACACTCCCCAGATTTCCTACTGTGCAGAAAATTTCCTTTTCTTATCAAATCCACAGAGCTATTTGAGGATCTCAGTTTCTTATTTCAAAATTCTGTTAGAATAGCAGAAACACAGACTCTTTAACTAAAATTCAATAGCTTTTTCTATGTCCACTTCTGAGTATTAAGACACCATTGCATTTCCATCAAAGCACATAGAGAGCTCCATAATTCTTGTATTCAGAAGCAACAACAGTCACTAATTGTCCTTATCTTTCCAAACCACCCTTGAGTTAAAAAATAGAAAGTTTTCCTCCTATGGAACTCAGGCTTTGGAAACACCACTCAGGACCTTTCATTTTCTGAAATTCCCTCATACTTTTGACGATCAAGGCTTAAGCAAAATAATGTCCAGCACTGCCGCATTACATCTTGCTGCCTTGCAAAATTCATACTTTGCTTCAGCTTCCAAAAGTGCCAATGTATTGGAACAGGTGGACATCTGCTGCCAGGATGCACAAATCACATTTAGGCAGGAAGAGACACCACCTACACCAGTCAAAAAAGGGGCACACCTGCTGAGCATTCCTGTAAATTCATCTGGAAGTCCAGTCCCTGTAGAAGGGAATTTACACCATATACATTCATTTAATTGTGGGGATGCCAGAAATGAGAGGCTGTTGGTTCCCTCCGCATGAACGCTGGACAGAAGCAGACAGCATGCAGGATTTCCTCACCATTCCCTACCAATGCCCCAAGAGACATTTGCTACTAACCTGCTTATGGTGAGGTCATATCCTGGAAGAAAGTACATTTTTTTGTGTACTTGACCATTTTTGTCCTTGCCCTGAAGGAACTCTGTTCCTCCTCTGGCCTCCTGCTATTTTTCTTGAAAGAGATAACAACCCTCTCTGCCTTTGCCTTGGTCCTGCTAGTCATCATCTTCTGTTAACTTTTTGCTGAAGCTCTTATACCCCATGGAAATACACACTTCCACAGTTGCTACTAAATGCAAAAAATCCCATAACTCACAGCAATTAGCAATGTCAGCTAGCTGGCACTTCTCTTTTGGCCTAATATTGCTGTGGATCAACCACAGTTGCAGTTCTAGGAAGGATTCTGAACAAGTTATTTCTTTTTAAATATCATTATTCCTGAGACGTTGTTGTGATATCAAATTAATTTGCAATTAATAAATGAGTCAGATTCTTGGTACCAGATGTGATTTTCTTGGCAGTGGAAATAGGCTTGGGGGAGACATTAAAGGGTCCTAAAATGCACTAACTCTCATCAACACATGGTACAACCTATGTCAAAAGATTCAACAATTATCATTCTGAGTCTCTGTTAATGTACACAACTGTTAAGAACGAACTACTGCAGCTGCATTTTTCTTAAAAACACTATAAACATTTCTCAGATTTAAAACACTGAGACTACACTGAATAATCTGTGTTGTTTCCCATGCACTCTTTCAAATTCCCTGTCCTTCTGCAGCCATATAAAAAGTAACAGAAGATCACACTTGGATGAGGAAGACACACAATAATGATTAAATTTTCACCTCCAAAGCACAGACTAGTGTCAGCATCCTCTACCCCTACTCTACAGCACATGAATTAAAATCTACAATTTCCGTTCCTTTGAATCTTATATTTTAAAAGACTCTTTGAGCTAGAGATTTTAAACATGGCATTCTTTTAAAGACCACAGTACACATCTGGTGGTATGACTTCATCATGCTTTCTTCCTCACTTAGTACCCAGGCCAATCCATTTTATAAATTAGGCTTATGAGTTAAGCTGACTGATATCTCTCAGCCGACCTGTTCATTAGGTAAACATGATTTCAAATGAGTCCGAAACGGTCCATAATTTGCCCCAAGCATGACAATTAAGTTGAAATGAATGTGGTTTTTTAAAAACTCAAATTTTTTGCTATGTGGTTTCCAAACCAAAGTTTTGAAACTTGCCTTGAAGCTTGCTGAAGTTTAAGTAAATGAGAATTAAAATGAAACTCCATGCAGAATATAAAATTGCTTGGTTTGGCCACACAAAATGCTTAACCAAACAATATTCTGGATAAAATGAATGGGTTGGGTGTCTTAACAGACCACTAGTTTTGGTGGTCCAATGCATTTTAATACAGAAAATAAAAGTTCAACAGAAAATGAAACAGAATTGCTTAATACATTATTTCAATCTTCTGTTTTACAAAGAGCAACTTCTGCTAGCATCTAGAGAATGATGAAGAGTCTTTGGAAAAACACACAGGAAACACTTTCAAAATTGAATTATTCCAATATCAGAGTAATGAAGTTGGTGCCTTCAACCCTTGTGAACAGATGTGAAAACAAACCAGTACAGCTTATAAGGGTTATTTATTTATCTGTACACAATGTATGTAGATAAATAATCTAGTAAATTGATTCAAGCATGGAAATGCTTTTCATAATCATAGACCTAAGTCTCAAAAATGGAGCCAGAACCTTACAGGAGAAAATCTAACTATAAAATATATAAAACATAATTACTCCGCCATTCAACTGTATTTTATATGTGTGCATAAGGGATGGAAAAATGAAAAGTCACTTGTAACAGACATTGCACAGTCATAGAAGAGCACTGAACCGAAGGCATGTTGTGAAAAGAAGGTTTGCAACACAGAGAAGTTCTTTTGTTTTGAGCATATGATCTTTATTTCAACTATTACATAACTTTATAGAATAAGATTTTTGAGTTGAATTTTTCTCTTTCCTCCTACTACTATTCCAAGTTTTGATGTTCATACTTTAGTTCCCACACTCTTCACAGGACAAACAATTATTTATGTACAATACTCTGAAAGCCATCTCAATCAACATGCCACCTTTATATTTATTTGTAGTATATCACTTGCACAAATTGGAGTGAGAGTGGGGAGTATACAGTGAACACAAGTCATCAAGAATAATAATTACAAAAGAGGAAAAATAAAGAGTCTGGTGTATGAAAAGTCTGGTGTTTCTTCATTACTCCTTAGTGTATTTATAATCAACCAATTTCCTTTCACGTTTTCCGGCTCTGTAAAGTAGGACTCAAATATCCTCCCAAAGTTTGTTTGTAAGACATACGATTCCAAGCAGCCATGCTTAAAGGAATTTTCTGAACTATTTTATAATGTGGCAGGATAATTTCCCTGTGCAGACAGTCACTGGACACAGAAGTTATTTCTTTGCCAAAACAATACTTCCCAGCTTTGATAATGATGATTTTGACCAGCTTCTAAGAAAAGCTGCCACCTGGTTATATCCATAATCAGTTCTTGTGCCAGGGATCTCTCCAAGTCACAGGGTTCACGGATGAAAACCCTGAGTGTCCTGCACAAAACTTCAAGAGATATCACTTCCCCCGCAGTAAGTATTACACACATACAGCTTTGCAAAATTTTACCGCCACCTTTGCCCACAGGAAAGTAACTTACTCCTTTTGCAGACAAGGGGTCCATTTGCCTGGAAACCCTCCTGTTTCTGGGAACTGCCTGTGAATTCCATGCTGATGAGACTTGATGGAAGTAGAGCTTTCCACCAGCAAATACTCATGGTCAAGACAGAAGCAGTGTCATAGCAGCAGCAGGCAGCTCTTCATTCACAGGAGCATCTAAATATCTCACTGGTTCTGTTTCAGCAGATCTGAAATCTTTATGCCATGTTCCTCTCTTCATCCTCCTTTCTTAGTGTTTAGGGAAGAAAGAAATGAAGAAAAAGAAAGCCCAGAGGAAGAACTTACACTAAGATATCACTTCTTTTGCTGCACCATACTACCAGTGTTATCATGGCACATGTCAACAAGACCGGGATCAAGATCAGTGTTATGAGAATTTCATCCGGTGGATCTTCCCAGTGAACCTTTTCTGAAGTACAGTTTGAAAAGAATTGTTTATGAATTCCAGTGATAAAGCCTTCTGCAAGGGGGTTTGGCCAAAAGCAACTTGCATTGTTGGCTTCACGTTCTGTGCACTGGGTAAAGTTGTCATAATACCTGGGAGTAGAAGAAAAATAAGAGAAGTTGAAATAGAATGTATATGCATATTACACTTTGAGAAAGCTACAGAGGGCACCATAAGAAATCTCTAAGAGTGTGTCTATCATGCAGATTTTCTGCTGAAGGACCTCCAATGGAAGCTGTGGCACAGCGAGGCAGAAGGAGAACTGACTCACATGTACTAATGCAACTGAGAGATTTCATGTGGAGTTCTGAGATCCCAGAGGGACAATAATCAAACCCTGACTGCAGCCAGGACGTCCTAATGCCACTTAAGTACAAAGATAACTCCCTCACTAGAGATATCTACAGATTCTTTAAAAAACATGCACACAAATGTGCCAAGAATAGGACATGTTGAACAAAGTACGGATATTTCATGCCTCAACTGCCACTAGACATGATGTTGTCATGAAAATTACGATGTAGCACTAGGACTGAACCACAACATGCAGTGTTGTAAAAATTTCGGTTCTGTTGCACTCTGATGTAAGAAAATAATAGGAAAATAAACACACGGAAAGTTAGCTTTTGACTAAAAATTTCTCTTCTTTCCAACTCCAGCAAATGCCCAGCAGGGAATAAACAAAGACATAAATTTTAATTACATGTTTGCTTATGAAAGGCTGGGAGTTCTTTGTAATACCAAGATGTGATTTCGATGCTGCATGTGCTAAAATTTACCTGTCCAGGAATAACTTATATTTATGAGAATTGGCTACCCCTCGGGAAAAAAAAGGCAAAAATAAGCCTAAATGAGTTTTGTAGTGTTATTATAGGCCAAAGAAATTCAGGAAGTGAATGGATATGGGGGAGGAGATCGGAAATTATGAACAGTGTCTGGTCAGTGCATGAATAGGGCAAGAAATAAGGAAGCTGAATTATTGTCTGTTGCATTTATTTTAGTCCTGCGTGACTCAATAAACTCATTTCAAAGGGGAAGTAAAAATAGAAAGGAGAGAGCAAAAACCCACATGACACCTCTAGGGACAGCATCCTATTGCAGCATCTGAAGACCCTCCTCTCTCTTACAGTCCATATAAATATGGACTCCTGATGATTGATTTGTTCTGACATTAAGTTTTATAGGAGACTAATGTTGACTCAATGTTTTGCTGTAAACTAAAGGAGAAGAGACATTCAGCGTTTGGGCCAAGACTGAAGTCTACTGTCTACTGTATGTCTGTCAGAGGAAATGTCTGCCTGCCATGCTGCAACCACACAGGTTGGGAACACAGCCTGCTGAACATCTCAGGGCTGTGTTCACAGAAGAAGAAAAAGCATCTCAGAAAGAGCCTTCTGCAAGTTCCTTGCAGTTCTCATTCTCATGGAGTTTGAGCCAATATTGCTCCAATCATAAGCAAACACACTGGACAATCTAACGCTAAGCACCGGCGTGAAGATGCATATACACACAATGTACGTGTATTTTAAGCAAAGTGACTAGAAAGGAAGCTTTTGTGACATCAGCAACCACAGGAAAACAACAGGAAATAAGCTAAAAATAAAATACAAATATCAGCTGCTTGCTGTTTTAATAGTGTCATTTTAATGACCTGGTGGCATCCATTCTTTACATCCTTGGACTAAATTAGGAGCTGGAGATGTCTAGCTGAATGTGAGAGATGCAGTCCCAGATGACCTGAACAGCAACAGGTCAGAAGGCAAGGCTACAAGGTTCAGCAGGCTACAAAGCAGAGATGGAGGAGCATCCATCTGCCCAGACAGGTCAGTGCTCCAGCTGGCACAGACACTCCAGAATGCTGGACTCTGCTCCAGCCTGCTCTGGGCCATGCTCTCATGGGCACCTTTGTGCCATCAATGCCTGCTGTTACAGCCGCCTCAATAAGAAAATCAACAATAAATCCAGGTGATTTCAGCACAGAAGTACCCTAAGCTCAAAGATGTGTTGATGTAATTTTTTTTCCTCTGTGTTAAAAATCCTATAGAAAATTCAGTGTTCTACAAAGAATTCTGCAGATTTTTTTCTTAAATGTTAGATGGTGTAAACAAAAATACTTCCACTGATTTTTGATTGTAAATACAACATAGCTAGAAAAAGTTGGTTAAGTGTTGCCAAAAGGCCAGATAAAAATAACTTGGGAGATAAATTGTATTTGAAATACTGAATCCCTAAGGGCCAAAGTAGAATAAAATGTTATTGTAATAGTTGGAATACCTTACAATATATCCTTAAAACCTTCTCTCATGAATAAAAAAGGGGTGGAAAAAACCTACCTGCACTATAACTCTTAGTTCACACAACTGTGAGAATGTAGATAAAGGAAAATCTCAGCTACTGGGAAATTGCATGTCTGCCAGTAAAGCTGAAATCACTTTAATATTTACGTAATTTTGTAATTTAGAGTTTATGCACTGCAACAGAAAGTTCATACAAAAAAAAAAAAAAGATCCTCTCTGCATAGCACTGTAGAACAGCTGCCTCAGAAGGAAGCACCTGCATCCTCATTACTACAGCATGGGTGTTTTTGTAGTTGATCAATGGGTTTGCAAGTAGAGATTTTTTAAGAGGGAGATGGAGGTTAATAGATATTTAATTTCAGTTCAACTCTCCTATGCCTAATCCTTTCATGTCTTACGTAATTCTCTGCATTCACATTGTAAAGGCTGGAATAGGAAACCTTTCCATTCTGTACAATAAAATGGCTATGACAAAAGATGTCCTGGCCTCTGGAGATACTTCAAGGAGAAGTGCATTAAAGTTCCACAACTTGTGAAAGGAAGGAACAAGAAATTATAGTTTCTACTTATTCCCCAAAGAAATAACTGGAGAGCACACTGGAGCTCAAGCTCCTCCACTTTTCAGATTATAAGAGGGTGTGGGAACATTCTTTGTGCTGAGACACGTTTTCATCTCTTTCAGGCTAGCTACAAGGGACCTAGGTAGTACTCAGGAAAGGGATATTCACAGGGAGCCAGATCACAAGCTTTGTGACAAATGAGCCAAAAAATTATATGAGTTTCAACTCAGCTAAGTAGTCCAATACAAAAACCCCAAAATCTAAGCACAGTCTGAGCAGCAAAACTCACATGAAGATGTGCTTTGCCCTGATATGCTCAGGAAAACTGTAGGTTCTGTTGAGGAACCAACTCCTTCGCCAAATTGCACATAACTGAAAATACTTTCAGAGAAATAATTCCTTTCAGAGCAATCTCTGGACTATAACACATTTGTCATGAAAGATAATTTTCAATATTCTAGAACAATACCTCATTTTCAGAGCACAAAAACTTTTTCTCCTGTTCTTAGGTTTTCACTAAACCAGATAATAACAACTGTGTCACTGAGGTTTTTTTGTTTAAACTGTGCAGTACTTTATTTTGTACTTTATCCATGAGAAAATATATTTTTACATGTTACCTGTAACTAAGAACCTGGACAGGAGGAAGTTATTATGAGGAATGGTAGTGGACGCATTTGCCTTAATGGGACAGTGTTTCATGGAGTGTCCACTGAAACTACTTAAATAGAGAGCTAGGTTTATTCCATGTAATCTATCTTAGGGTACACAGTTGCCTCTCACTCAAGGCACTTAGTCTAAGTGGGGCTTGACTCTCATCTGTAGTTTCCCTCATTTCCAGGGAGGAACGTGGTAAATTCTTGCTCTTTCTTCCTTAATATCCCTGAACAGGAAAACTGCAGAGATGAATGGTTTACAAAAACACAAGCCCCACAGTCCCCTCCCCCACATTTTTGTGAGACTAAGAAAACAAATAGATTGTTTAACTAAGACTTTAAATAAATAAGCATTTTCCAATGCAAAACTGTTATTTCAAAGAATCACAAACAATTATCAAAAAGCTGAATACAATATATATATTACGTAAGACAAACATTTGAGGGCATTTTCTGGCTGCAGCCACTAGACCCACTGTCCGTTCCAATAGAAGAATCTTTTCACCTCTCCAGCATTTATGGACAGACCACCACAGAGACACTCAGCACATAAGCAGTCAGGAATGTTTTGCTTTTGCTTAATGAGGAGGGCCAAGGATTAAAAAGCAAAACACCACACTTCCACCACCCCATTTCAAATAACTTCATTTCATGCTTTCTGATATGATTATAGAAGGGTAGTACAAGATATATATGATGAATAATTTTTTGTTATTTTGAGTCCACTAAGTACTCAGAATACAGTGAAAAATCTCTCAGCCATAACTGAGTCTTGATGGAAACCAGGTAACAGACACACCAGGGACACTCACTCCTGGTACTCTACAATCCCAGACAGCAATGTAGAGGCACTGTTCCAGGACACTACAAGTCATGTGGTGTATTTTAATAAAGATGCTTTAAAACTATTTGCACTCTCCTAGATTATTCAGCCAAAAATTTCTTTATACACAGTCACATATTAAATTGAATTATCATCCTTGTAACCTCCACCCAGACTGGAATACAAAACTCTGAAATGTAAAAATATTAACAAGAAATATCATATGATGAGAAAGGCTTTTCTTGCAGCATTTCCAGATGAACGGGAGGCAGGAAGTAGCAAAAAACCTCACAAAAATAAAAAGTCTATTCTTATGTGAGATGCAGCCAGACTGTACAGAACTTCAGGGCATAGCAGCCTGGATGAACTTCAAATAAGGGTCCAAACCTTAAGATGATCATTTCCTGAGGTTTCACCACCATGCTAGAAGGACATATTTAATTTTATAGACAGTTAGGAGCCTGTAAATATGGTGGAATATTTCCAAGATTTTCTCAATCAACATCTCTCCAAACAATTTGTGTCTGTCTCACCATTCCTTTAATCATATATCTTCTGCCAAGATGAGTATCTTCACAGTCACATTTCTACCTCCCTAACCAGATCAGATCTACTGTTGTGCAGTTCCAATACAGAATTCAGCCTCAAGAAAATGATGTGCTACAAAAACACAAGGAAGGAAATTAATGGGGGTGGGGAAAAAACGGGTTTAATGAAAAAATTATAAAGTACTGTTTACTCTCACGCCACTAAATA